ATGGACAAGTGTTAACTTTGTTATATAGAAATAATATAGTTTTTCTCATGAACAATCTATTTGAATTTTAAAAATTTCATTGGCTAGCTTATAGAAAGATACTATTATGGTCCCTCAATAGAAGATACGTGTAAATCTAGTTATTGACCTGTTCGTTTATTTTTCCTAAAAAAAAAACTTTAATATTGCCCATAAATTTTGATTGTTTGGAGCTATGGCTTTCATATTTCACGTGATTACAGTCAAGTAGTTATTTGTGAATAGTTATATTGGAATCGAGTGTCTTTTATATATAGCCAAAAATTAAAGTTTTCGTTAATAGGGAAAACATCTTTTTAATACGTAGGAAATGAAATGCTGCATATTTGCTTTCCCTGCATAGTTTCCCTTAAAAAATTATTCGCATTCTCCATGCAACATAAAGAGACGTCATCGTAATAAACCGAGAAAACGAAATGAACTTAAAACTCCTAATGATTTAATTGTGTCAAATAAGAATGAAAACATATGCTTTAAATAATCACCTTTCGTGTATTCAATTGACATGTCACTAATTCAAAAGGTTTTTTTAACTTTACGTAAGAATAAATTTATACTCAAGTTTGGCTTATAGTGTTTCTAAATATTACGTTTTAATTTAATCAATGCAACAGCTACCAAAAATTCTTTGTGAAGGTAGGACATTTGATTGATTTAATGAGCGTTTAATAACTGCTTTTCATTTTGTTTAAAGGAAATGAGTCCATTTTTTTTATTCAAAAAGTTTATGTACAATTTATTTAAAGGAGTTTCCTCCTTATGAAAAACAGATGTTTTGGGAAAACACTGATGTCTTTGTGTGACAGTTCAATGCCAAAGTTTAAAAGTTTCTCAAATCCAGTACAAACGACAAGATCAAAGTAAATGAATCAAAAATAATGGTGCCAAAAGAATTTCTTGTCATAAGAAATATGCATGCATGAAATATGAAATAACTTGCACTAAATATTCATAATTTTTCACAAGAACAAGGTCAAGGCAGAACTGCTCGAGAAAGTTCTTGTCATTATCGGCCGCAGCAGCGGCCGATCTATTTGTGATTGTGTTAGAAAGTGCACATGGGGAAATGAGACGTTATTTTTCATTAGGTCAGAGAAACATTTCTCAAATGATAAAAAAGTAGAAATCATGAGTAAAATATTTTTAAAAATTGCTTTAAACTAATTATTCATTGCTGATACTATGTTTCAATTTAATTATCATTTCTAATCAGATAATTGGTAATTTATTGTTTTGTTAAGAGAGTTTACAATAGATACTCCCCAGCCTGGGAGTGTATAAGATATGAAAGGAAATCGTCATGATTTTCCGGATAATAATGAAGTGTAAAAGTACATGGTGAATAAAAATTATTAAAAAAAAAATTCAACCAGTAAATATTGTTTTGAACATGCTCTAGAGCTGCATATTAAATACAAAGACATTTTTCTACATTTTGCATTGCGGCCTTAGCCATTTATGGGCATTATCACGTGACCAAGATCGAGGGTATCGGCACGTGGTTCATCTTGAGAGACCTACATCTTCATTTTGATGACAATAAATTCTTATCATTTATCGCTGACCTGTTTAACATTGATGAATCTATTTATAAGCAAATGCGTAAAATGTCTATTTGTTTTAATTTCATTTAATTATTTATTTTGCTTTGAAGACAGCCTAAAATAAAAATGATTCAACTATTTCACCCTTGAATATCTTGACGCGCTTTCCTTGCATGGACACTTTGAAAATTGTAAAAAAAAAAAAAAATCTTTAATGCTAAATATTTCGTTTGCGGCCGATTTGATGCTTTGCATCAATTTAACTTGTAAAGAATATACATGTGAATCATGAAATACTTAGCACCAACAATGGTAAGCGTTCAACCAAGATTAAAGTTTACAAAAGTAGATTTATATTAAAAGGTAAAAATTTTGGCACCTTAAGGAATGCCTGGTCATACATAACACACAAAGTCATAGAACAAGCTGTTATATTAAAGTCATAACCAAGGTCCATTTTTTAAGAAGGCTAAAGTCAAATGTTATCGTCCGAGGTCATAAATCGTGAAATAACTGAACAAAGAACAACTGAAATATGATAACCCTATTTGATCAATGGTTGTAAATAATTTGTCATGATCATTTTTTTTTCAAAATTGAAGGTCAAAGTCATAAGGTCAGGAATAATTATGCCCAAGGTATGCTTTCAGATATCTTTTAATTTAAAGATTATCTGAACTCAAATAAGTTTTCTGACCACCATAGTCCGTCTGCCTGTAAACTTGAGGACCAAGCCTCCTTCCTAGAGGAGATAATCAAGAAGAGGCAAAAAGAAACTGGCATCGTAAAAAAAATCTTCTCGACAAAAACCTGGCCAGAAATTTAAAAAGTTGAAACTAATGTTGGGAGCTTTCTAAGGTAGTATGTAGTTTCAAATGTATTCATGACCCGGGGGGGGGGGTAACTTGGGCATTAAAAAAGTATATAGGAGGTTAGCATTGAAATTTGTGAGAAACCTCTTTACAATCATATTCTTATTAACCACTGGTCCAGAAAAGGTGAAACTTTGGTGGAAGCCTTCTGAGATTCTAGATGTTCCAACATAACTTCTGGAGAAATGATGAGACCTTCTGATGGAGTGTTAGTGTAACAAATATTAAATCTTGACCATAAGATGCTAGATTTGTGCGGAACCTCTCTGAGGAAGTGTAGATTCTCAATTATTTATATCATGGTCCCTAACGTATGGATGATGAACAAAAGTGGATTTAGGTTTTACTCTAAAATACATGAGAAAAATCTTCTTAAAATCTTAAGAACTACCCAAAACAGTGAAACGTTCAATGTATGTGGAAGCTTTCTATGGAATTGTAAATTCAAGATTGCTCAAATTATGACCCCTGGAGCATGTATTGGCAACTTTAAGGTATAAAAGTTTTACAGTGATTTTTTAAAAAGAAAATTCTTCAAAAACCTTTTCAAGAACCACTCGACTTGAAAATGAAACTTTCAATTAGATTGATGGGTAGCTTAGCATGTGCAGTTTGATCATTTCTGTACACTGATCAATTTATTGCACTTCTTTTGCATTAAACAAATATTTAATCGAAAGAGGTAAATTGAAATTGGTTTAAACACCCTAACCCAGTTTTAGACTATATCTGCCGATCATATAAGCAATACAGAATATGAATGGAGAAAATTAATCGATACCATTGATTTAATGACCCGACCCAGTTACACACTGACCTCTGATGTTCGGCAAAGAACCAGGTCTTTATTGTTGACCGTGATCCCTATATTTCTGTAACCTTTCATAAATAAATAATGCTGGCGGGGTTTTCCTAGGTAATTGATTACAGTAATTAAACAACCGCGTCTTTACGTTTTCCTTTACGACTCATAGTACAAATGAAGTTATTTTTTTTTTTATTTAAGGTAGTTCTGATTCTCAGTTTCCGAAAACTAGGCTGTCAATAATTAAAAAAAATGTCTCTGATTTCTCAAAGCAATATATCTATAGCTAGATTAATATGGAAATGTGATTTCTTTCAAAGTGGGTTTTTAACATTTCTATGGGGATTTCATGAATTTCATTGTCTCATTAGACACGATGAGATTCATAAAATGAAAATTTTTGCATAATTTTTTTTTTTATTTTAAGATTCATTTTGAAACTTTTTGAAATATAAATAAATTTAAGAGTTAACCTTTCTAGCTGGAGCGGATATCCCTAAACGTACATAACTGTGTACAATTTTCTGGCTTGTTTTGCTTGTTCCTGGCTCGTTTTATATTTTCTTCATTTTTTAGGAAAACCTCTTTAAAATGTCTATATAAATTCTAGTAATATCATCGTAATATTTTAGGCTGTTGCACAAGAGTCGATCATCCTTGTTTAAGGATAAACGTTAAAAAGATCGTATATTTTCCTTGTCTGTTATATTTTCACCAAATTATCCTCAGCTTCTTGAAGAGGGGGGGGGGGGGGTAGGTCGGTTGGAAGAAAAAAAAAACTGCTTGTATCGTTTAATAAAAATAGTACTTTTTAAGTTGAAAAATAACCCTCTGGATGTGGTTCTTTTCCAAAAATTAATTGCAATTACAAATGAATCACACAGTTAAATTAATGACAACATTAATTTTTACTTTTTTTTTTCTTTTTTACCACAGCCTAATTTTAAAAAGCGACTAAACTGCCAGGTGAAAACAGTTGACATATATATGTACACTTACTGTCAAAATATAAGTGATAGAAAGACACTCCTCTAATGTTCAAAAGTACATCATTAAAACTAAATGAAATTCACTATTCTTATCACTGTTATAATACGTGCAAAGTTTATATTATAAAGAACATCGGACAGATTTGTTTTCATATAAAAAAAAAGGAAAAAAATCCAAAATTCTTTATTTTGAAATTTTTCCTTGCATGATTTATAGGAATTGCTCTCCTTAAATGTGAAAGAATCACCTTTATAATTCATTGCAGCAATGAAAATAAAAATGGGTTAAAAAAAAATAAATATATATTTCCTTTGAATATTAAGTGTTACTGATCAAAAGATTCTATATTCAAGATATATCATGCAACCTTTAAAGATACGTATATCAGAGGTAAGGGGAATATATGGCCGCTTACCCTATATTTTGTTAACCTCACTGATCAATCGATTTGTAGATAAAGTAATTTTCTGTGATATAAGAAAAAGAATGCGCCGCGTACTTCGTGTCTCGGTCGTTCGCCTTTCGTAGTCACGTGACATGACTTCGTAATCTGCGACATGTTATAAAGTCGCTTGCTTCAAACCTGTATTTTCAATACTTACAGAGAACTCCTAGTTTCAGAATACTTCTAAAGATTTTATAAATTAAATAAAAATGTTAGAAATTTTTCTGATTCTGTCTATCTGCGTGCTTTTATATAAGTATTTAAATCAGTACAAAGGGTGTGGTAAGAAGTTACCTCCAGGACGGATGGGCATTCCGATTTTAGGAGAGTCTTTGCAATTCCTTCATAAAAAGGTAAAATTACATTTTCAATAATTTATTATTTATTAAATTTGTTGAATACAATAATTCTAACCACATTTGTTTAGTGTAATTATCATAGAATTGCTTTTTCACAACAATAAATAAAATTGTTATAATCAAGTTTTCTTGTATCTTTTTTCCAGGCAAAATTCTTTGAGGAGAAAAGAAAAGAGCATGGCAATATTTACAAGACGCACTTGTTTGGAAGACCAACAATTCGCATATCAGGAAAGAAAAACCTGGAAAAATTATTTGCAGCCGAAAACAAACTTCTCCAATGTGCTTACCCAACTTCGGTGTGGAAAATTCTAGGGAAAAATTCCCTCTCTTCATCCACAGGCCAAGTGCATGCAGAGAAAAAAATGCAACTTCTAAAATGTCTGTCTCCGGGATTTTTTGACCAAAATTTACCCATGGTCTCTGACTTTTTGACTGGACGTATTTATGAATGGTGCCGCAAGTCGTCCATTGAGATTTTTGCCGACTGCCACTCTCTGTTTTTAGAGTTAGCTTCTACTTTCTTAGTCAGTATGGATATGCCTAAAGATGAAAGAAGAAAGATACGGACACTTTATCATGATATCACTAACAACCTCTTCACTTTGCCGATTAATATACCTGGATTTGGCTTTTATAAGGTAAGACTATAACTTCATCTTCAATTATTTATATTTTTAAGAGTGCTTGAATATTTCTTTTAAATTAATATTTCTGTTCTGTTCTATTTTCATTTTTCGTCGTTTTTGTCTCTTTTACATAATTTTCTATATTATCAAAAATTGTCAAATCAAAGGTTGACCTAGTTAACTGAGGAACGTACGCGGAAATAAACAAACTAGGTATTTTAACCTTACAGTCAGTGGGCCAAATTTTGGTCATTCACCCCTTCGTCCTCCCGTCGCTCTTAGTGACGTAGGTGTAAGAGGTCTTGAAGCGGGCAGGAGTTGAATCTAAGTTCATCTTTGCCTGGTCTGCAAAATTATGAATGAAATGACGTCACAAATGCTGTTACTCACGCATAGCTTTGTAGTATTTTTATTTAAAATAGGCGTACTCTTGCTAAGTGATTGAACTCTGTGGATGAGATGCACGGTTACTGACTTGGGGTTAATGACCATTGTTGATACTGAAGAAAATAATTAAGGACATTGATGTACATTGTATAATGTTAGAGAAATCTTAATTGTGTGTAGATCCATATTTAAATAAAATAAGCATTGGGATTTTTTTTATTTCAGGCGTGCAAGGCAAAAGAGGAACTAAAGAATTTGTTCTTAAAGAGAATAAAGGAAGATGGAAAGAGCTGTTCGCAACAGTTTCCAGCTGTACTGGAAAAATTCTGCAAATCTCAAAATTCAGAATTTGACAATGACGATTTGTTAAATGGCATTTTTGAACTGATATTTAATGCTGGAGAGACGACCAGTACGTCGGCCATGTGTGCACTTATCCATTTATCCAAACATCCAGAAGTTCTTGAAAAGCTTCGACAAGAACTATCGAACGTTGACCTTTTAGCTCCTCCCGAAGAAAATAACAATAGCGAGGTAGAGGTTACGGCAGAAATCTTCAGCAAACTTCCATATTTGGATTGTGTTTACAAAGAACTACTTCGGGTGACTCCGGCGGTGGGCGGGGCTTACAGGAGAGTCTTAAAGACCTTTGAACTCGAGGTACGTCTGGGAAAGGATTTTTGTTTTTTTTCTCTTTTAAATCAAAGACTTTAAGCTAAAAAAAATCTATAAACAAATTTCCTGAAATCTATTTTTTAGCCAAATACAACTTAGATAAATATTCTATTATTTCGTTGTTTACATCGTTTTCTTTTTCATACATAAAAAAAAAACATATAGCAAAAGTAAATTATTTTGTTTCTTTACTGGTTATTTAATTTTATTCAAATGATTATTATAAAGGAGTATTAATATTAAAAATTCTTACTTTAATTTTTTCCAGGGATACACTATTCCTGAAGGTTGGACGGTGGTTCTTGGAATTCGAGACACACACGAACTGGACAGTAATTTGGATGACCCTTTAACCTTTAACCCTGACCGATGGATGCAGGCCGATTCTTCTAAGATATCCTTCTTTCCATTCGCCAGTGGACCTCGGAGATGTCCCGGAAAAGGATATGCGCATCTAATTTTAAAACTGTTCATAATCAAATTGTGTCAGCAGTGTAACTGGACATTATCGGAACCCAATCCGGAAATGGTTGCCATGCCAACACCTCGACCAAAAAACAAACTTATGTGCAGTTTCAATCAACGAGAGTATAATAAGGAATAAAGACAAGTAAATAGCCCAGGTTTCTCAATTTTGGTCGCAAAAAAAATCCGACTACTATTTATTTCTTTTAAATGAACAATTGCTATGTTTGATAGTTTGTGTCACGAAAAGTATGTGCGTCGAAAAATGTGTCCAGAACATTAGATTGTTGGATTTAAATTCTCCACAGGCCATTTTGAACATTCTTGTATTTATTAATTTTGATAATAAGTCGTAAAAACATTGTCTGTAAATCCCAATCAAGAATTGCTACGTACATTAAAACCCGGTGTTATATTTATATTTTTTTATGTGTATTTTATTCTGTATATATTGGTTTTATTTTCTAATTTATTGATACAATAATGAAAAATATAAGAAAAAATTAAAATCAAATGTTTTTAACATACGAAGTGTTCATTTTTTTTGATTTTATTTATTTATTTATTTATTTTTTTTGGTGCCTTCAGATGAAAAAAAAGAAAGGGCGGAGTTTTTGAAATTTTGAAGTGATTTTTGCAGTAGATCTTGATTATGCTGCGAAATCTACTGAATAAAAAACTTGTATATGTATCAGTTGCCAAAAGATATTTCCACCATGAAAGTTATTGAAATTGGAATTTTGATATCTTCCTTACTCTTGAACTATACTTGTATCAGAGAACGAACAATGCTTCTTGGGTCCAGATTCAGGCCCTAAAATAAGGATAAATCAGTCATTTTCTGAAAATACATTACATATTTGAAAAACTCATCTTCCCAAACTATCTTGCAAACAAAATATTTACGTAATCACAATTAAAACTTAGTACTCTCCAATCCTTAAAATAATACAGTTCAGGAGCAAAGCAAACCTAAAAAAACATCAGAGGTCGGTTCAAGTGCAATAGAGGAGTTAATATCTCCTTTCGATCGATCACTTGGAGTGTGCTCCTTGTTACGATCAGGTAATTGAAAAAAAAAACCCGTAGACAATTCAGTGTGTAAATAATGGCCTAACTTATGTTGATTGTGTGTATTTGCTGACAAGGTCATTATATCAACCACGGAAATGTTTGCGAAATATAAAAAAAAAAACAAGACTTTTGGAATCCATATTTCACCAACTTATATAACTGCCAATAGCTCGACTTGTCTTTGACATTGGTCATACGTATCTAGCGTACTCTTGCGTATCGAGTCAACCGGGGAACACAAATTTTTAATGCATGATGCAAATGGTATATATTGCTACAGAAATAAATAAAGTTGACGATAGAATTTCTTTTGTTACCATTACTGTCTTTTTTAAGTAAATTTTCCAAATATGAAACAGACGTGTCAGACTCTGTGAATTTTTTTTCTCGGGTTCAAAGTTGTACAGCAAATCAAAGTAGGAATGATTATCATCATGGATATTGTTTATACTAGATATATGCACAGCTACATGAACTTTTATCAATAAGTCTCTAAAATAGCCAAATATCGTAAAATTCTATCCCCTCTATATAAAAATGGGGTAGAATTTTTCGATATTTGGCTAATTTAGCGACTTATTGATGAAAATTCAGGTGCCTGTAACATATGTTAGATGCCGTCGATATATATAAATGGTTATATAAGTACTGCATGTAAAATCGTACGCACTATTGCTGTTTTTGGTAAAATGTTATTTTGAATTTTCGAGGAGTTCTTTGAAATTTTAAAGTACCCACATTTGATTCTTGCCATGTCTTAAATATATTGCTTTACAGCAATTGTGAAGCAGACAATACTTTAGTGAGGAGTAAAGAAAGAGACTTGATAGAACTGGAATCTTGTATGTATCTTTATTTGTAAAGAATACAGTGTAGGTATGGTAATTCAATTTTATTTATTTGTTGGGAATATTAAAAATAATATTACTTTAAACTGACATGTTTTTGGAAAAAAAATTCTTTGTCACATAAAATTTTACCAAAATCAACAACATTAAAACGAATTTTCAACTTTATATGCAACTCTTCCCCACGATAAGTTAAGTTCAGGGTTTTTTATATCATTGACAGCTGTTTTTTGAATAAAAATTTGAACTCGTAAATTTACTTACTTTATCATTGGTCATTTTGTGAAAAAACATTTTGATTGTAGACACAAGTATTCTTAAGTCCTTTATGCTCATGTGGTAAAAAAGAAGATGCGTATCATTATTTTTTGGTATGTCCAAAGTGTAAAGAAGCCAGAAAGGAATTTTTTGAAATTTTTTATTATTTGATAAAAATTCATATTTTAGATATAGATGTCTTATTATGGGGGGTAGGTTCAACGAATGCTGTGGAGAATGAGCGTCTTTTCTCTATTCTTCAAACATTTATAAAGCAATCTGGCAGATTCACGTGTTAGTATTACATGTACTATTATTAAATATAATTTATTTGTACATGCAACAGAACAAGCATCATTTTTAAACGTCTCCCTTCCTTCACTTAAACAATCAATTAAAACTTCTGGCAAGTCTTTTGTCCTCGTAAACCGTGTACAAATTATCATAAATATCTGCAAAGGAATTTCAAAGATATACGTTTAATTTTACAGCCGTTCGTTTCTCGAATACGACTGAATCAGCCATTTTTCGTCACAAGTGATCTACCTTATGACGTCATTTTCGCATTGTGACGTCACGAACACGGGGCAAAACGATTCATTACATATGCTATTTATAAAAAATGTGTATGACTCTATGTGTGCCAAATTTCATTCTGATCTGAATTGTGGTTTTTTAAATATAGAAATAGTTCGCGAACTTTTTGATCACCCCTCGTATATATAAAATTATATGTATAATTCTTTAAAATGCATCTATTTGTAAATTTTGCAAATATTGAATACTTTGAATGTATACTATTCAACTGCGACCTAATTGTATTTTTGTTATTTACACATGTACATGTAGGAAGAGGGCGTTATATGTTTTTAGAACTTGTGCCCAATCCCTTTGTTGTTAGAAAATTATTATACAGTTATTTAATGCCTAAACAGTCAATAGACCAGAATATTTTCCCGAGGTGCAGGGAACAACTCAGTGTGTTCTATTGCCCGACGCCAGCGGAAAAATTTTCGAAAGGAATGTAAACAATAGTCTATACAATCAATCTTTAATTAATATTAAAGATGCACCATATCTAGGTATAGATTATCAATACGGTACGGGAACCTTCTGTACTGAATATACAATTGTGAACACTTAATACAGAAAATAAAATTAGGTAATAAAACAATTATCTAATGCCTGAACAGTCAATAGACCAGAAAATTTTTCATATTTGGATATTTTACTTGAAAAATACGTAAATGGAAATTTAACATCCAAGCTCTATTATAACGAGATGACTTAAACTTTTAAATTGGGAACTTCCCTTACTTATGCAGCAATATACCTTCATCACCTGCATACGTGTTTATATCCCTCAGATGATTCGATATGCAACAGCATGCTCTAAATATGAACAATTTTAAAAACGAGATAAGTTATTGGCAAACTAGTTTCTGAGACAAGAAAATAAGCAGTTTCATTTAAAGTCATCATTTCGTAAGTTCTATGGTCCAAACAATAACCTTGTCAGCAAATATAATTTTTCATCAGCATGATTAGGTCAAATGCTGTATGAATGACGAATTTCATACTTATTGTTCAGCCGTTATATACACACTGAATTGTTGACAGATTTCCCCAATTATTTCTCGGTCATGACAAAGAGCAACGGCTGGTGATACTGGTCGGCAGGGACATCGTTATTATAAACATGGTGTCACTGCCATCATATTCATATGGGAGGCAGGGGTATCACCTAGTGAGCTCATTGCTCACAGTACCTCTAGTTTTTATTAAAATGAGACGTCACCTCATCGGTGAAGGGCTTCAATAAATGAGAAAATCATAGTCAAGCAAAGGCACGTTACACACCTTAACTGAAGTTTCAGTACAGTATTGCAATATTACTCATGCTACTAGAAATGTAATTTGACATACTGGTACTTTTAATCTAGATTTACAAGAAAACAATGAGAATATCTGTGGCCATCATAAAAATGAAATTTCTATCCTTTGAAGCATTACAAAAATTTGACTTCACAAAATTTGCTAGTTGTCTTCCTATCCCCTCAGAATTTACATAAATTTCTGACAATTTGGAAATATGTTGTTTTAGAGTCATATTATTTATTATAACCCCCCTCCTCCGATTGAAAAGTGGAAGGGTATATAGTGATCAGGATGTCCGTCCGTCTGTCCATTACGCTTTCGGGTACCCATCTCATCCGCAACTCTTCTTATACCACTGAATGAAATTTGATGATACTTTCACAGATTCTTAATTACTTTATGTTATGCACCTCTTAATTCTCTTTTTGAACTGAATTTTATTACGGGTCTCCTAGAGCCAAACATGGACTTTGCCATTATAATCATATGAGAGGCCGAAGGGGGGGGGGGACTTAGTGAGCTCATTGCTCACAGTACCTCAAGTTAATTAATTTGTTTTGTTTTTATTTGTTTTCTGAAGTAAAAGTTTTCTGGTTTGAGTTTTTAAATGTAGAACAGAAATGCTTTAATTGGTGAATTTAATATTTAGTGCATACAAACATTTTTTATGAAAAATGTATGTCAACGGTCATGTATATTTCCCAAGATCATTTAAAGGTCACGCTCGTCACACAACTGCTGTAAAAATTGATTAGTTCAAACTATAGTCTGTAATTATTAATAAAAATAATTCCTAAAACTTTTTTTTTATCTTTAGAAACTTTTTCTCTTCATTATTTGAATATTATTCTTTCTTCTGATTACTAGATGAATACACATATAACAGAGAAAGGTTTAAAGTTTTTATCGCGAAGAAAGGGTCCTAGCAGGCTACTAAAAAGTCAAATCAATCTTCCCAATGAATACTTCGTCTCAATAAAGTTAAAATACTTCATCTTATTTAACACGACAAACAAAAACAACGCTTCTTCACTCAGTAATTTATTCCTTTTACCCAACTTTCGGTATTTTTGTTTTAGTTGAGCAGGTTTATTAGATTATTTGAGATAAGCATTTCATATTCAACTAAACGAAGAAGAACATTACTAGTATTTCATTTATAAGGTGATTTCAATTCTTTTTCAATTTATTTCTATGGTAAGTGTCGGTGTTTGTTTTCGTTTTTAACATGCTAGATCACGAAAACACAAATAAAATCAGGTGTCCCGATTTCTTTGGTCACAACCTGTGAATTTTCTCAGTTTGTTTCAATATTTGTCAATACTCTCTCATATTAGGTATATATTAATTAAACTTATTTGCTGAGTATTATGTATGAGAAT